GTGCAGTGCAGGAGGTGCGGGGCCCACAGGGGAGGCGTTCAGGGTCTGCCCCGGCCCCCCGGGCAGCACCCCCCTCTTCCCACAGGGAAGCAGAAGCCCCTGCCGACGTGTGCAGCAGTGCGGCAGGGGGGGTTTGCTGTGACCCGAGACTCCGTGCTTTGGCTCTCGGGGTGGCTCCCAAAAGGCTGCTTGGTTTCCGGGTTGACGTATGCAAGGCTAAGAGTTGGCTGGAGCGATAGTCCCTTGCTCTGGTGTCCCATGAACACCTTTCCGAAAAAGATGAGGTGAATAAAGCGATCAGCGAGCTCTGAGTCTTCAAGGCCTCAGTGAGATTGCTGCACGTGTGGAATAAGACCCAGTCTTCTCTGAACAATTGTATTTAATCAAAGCGGAGCCCAGCGCACAGGGGAGGCGTTCAGGGTCTGCCCCGGCCCCCCGGGCAGCACCCCCCTCTTCCCACAGGGAAGCAGAAGCCCCTGTGCCGACGTGCAGCAGTGCGGCAGGGGGGGGTTGCTGTGACCCGAGACTCCGTGCTTCGGCTCTCGGGGTGGCTCCCAAAAGGCTGCTTGGTTTCCGGGTTGACGTATGCAAGGCTAAGAGTTGGCTGGAGCGATAGTCCCTTGCTCTGGTGTCCCATGAACACCTTTCCGAAAAAGATGAGGTGAATAAAGCGATCAGCGAGCTCTGAGTCTTCAAGGCCTCAGCGGGATTGCTGCACGTGTGGAATAAGACTGACCCAGTCTTCTCCAATTGTATTTAATCAAAAAAGCCCAGAAACTGCATCATTAGTATACTCTATTTATAGGAATGCAAGGGCAGAAGATGTACAGTTCAAAGCTACACCTGTAGATGATCATATATACTGCAGTATAGTAATAACAACATGGGACAGCAAGTAATCACCTCACAACAGTACACATGAGTGATTAGACTTACAAAGGAAGTATTTACAAATTTACCTTTACAAAACAACATTGTGTGCATACAAAATGAAATTTGCAATAAAACTGAAGATACATTTAAGGCAGACCAGCAATACACTGAAATAATTAAGGCTGTGGATTTACTTTGCACCTTGAAAATGCGGAGCTGTTAGCAGTACTGTTTCTTTTTTCCTCCTTCAGTTGATTGTTGCAAAGATTGAAAAGCATCAGTATACTCCAACTGTTTGCTCTTATCTCAGTGAATAAGTCTGAGAGTTAATTTTTTTTTGCGCTTTCTATTGCATTTGCTGTCCAAAACTTATCAGCAAATTGACCTCAGTGGCAGAGCAACGCTGAACAGTTTGGTAGAAAGAGAAGTAAAAGCACCAGCATCAGGAGTTGGACATGAAGGTGAAGTATGGCTTGAGTAGAGAAGATGTTAGTTTTTCACTAGCTCCATAATAAAGACTACAGTTACAGCGAATATTCAGCATCCTGACTCTATGGTAACACTCACCGCTATACAGATCCCAGAATGAGAATTCATCACTTGATGGCAGTGTGCAGTCAGCCTAGTAAAATGGGATTTTATTTTGTTTCCTTGGGAAAGCACCATTTTCTGATGGGACATAAAAGAATGAGCTGGAAAATAAATTCAAGCCCTGTGTTAGAGGAAACTCTACCTCTGCAGTGAAAGGAACAGAAACAAAACCAGGTGGTTAGCCCCTGTGCACGCTAATTATCTGTTAGACCTTTGTATATACAGACTAGTCTTTACATCTGTCTCTGAAGTTTATATTATCCCAGGTCACTTGATGCAGTCCCCTTATTGCAAGGGTATTAAAATATGGTTATATATAGTCAGGTCACACTGTGCAGTTCTGCATTTAGCCTTTATTCACGGTATTCATAACAAAGGCCTAATAGCATCGTCAGAAATGCTAATGAACTCCACTGAAGCCACAGAACTTGTACACGTCAGTTGAGGGCACAGACTTTGTCTCAGCATTAACTTAGTCTAAAGTAAAATGCTTTTAAAGATAAATGTTACTGAAAAAAATAGTCATTTAAAATAAAAGGGCAGTAAGACTAAACAAGACTTGTTGGTACAAGTAGGAAGAGAGAAATTTTATAGATTTTAAAGCCTGGATTGCTTTAAAATACTGAAGTCTAAAACCTCGGACCAGCTGTGCGTCATCCCTGTAGTAACGTGTAGAGGGCTTGGCAGCTTGGTGGAGAGGTGGGGATCTCCCACAGGGCAGCAAGTGCTTCGGACACCTGATGGGAGCTGACAGCGTTACATGGGCAATCGGATTTCCTATTCGATGGCCAAGAGTGAAACGGCCTGGCCTGGCTGCTCGAAGTGGAGCGGAGAGAGAGGGGCAAGTTAGTTTCTCGCTGCCACATGCGTTCATTAAATGCAGCCATCTTCAATAAGGAGCACCACATGTCACCGTGCCCTCCGGGCTCTGTTTCACTGGCGCCCTTGCTGCTGCCTTCCTGCAGGCCTGTCACCCAGTCCAGTGCTGGGGGACACTGTGAGCAAGTGTACTTTGATGTCAGTGCAGGGTAAGAGCACCATGAAGGTGTCTGAAGGTGGTGGCTGTGTGCATAGTGCCAGTCTGCACCGAGCTTGTGGTGCTCCATTGCTAGTATTAGCAACTAGCAATTGCTAGTTGGTCATTCTAGCTGGTCTGAAGCTGCCACAGAAGCTAGAGGGTGCAGCTACCATCACGCCTTCACTCGGCCGTCTTGGGAATACCCTGAGTGGTAAAGCTGCGGGCAGAAATCTTCCCCTCGGAGTCAGCTGCTCTCTGGGGAGCTTTGTAAAGGCCTAATGGAGCTTTATGAGAAACTGTGTTTCCCCGTGTTTGTTACAGGCAATATTTCATGCACAAAAAAATCCAGTAGTTGGAGAATGCTGCAAAGGGGGTTGGCTGTGGTGCAGAGGGGGTTGGCTGTGGTGCTTCTCAGCCAGCCGGCTCCCTCCAGGCCTACTTACTGAGCGGCTGTAATCTCTTTACAACAGAGTTACAGTTTACAACAGTTACAGGATCTGTTGCGTTTGCAGAGAGGCCACAGGTTGGCTGAAAAAGACCTCGAGAGAGCAAGGTCAGAATACTTCCTCTGTATTTATCATATGGCAGCATTTCATGTCAGCTTGATATTATTCAGGCAAAAGAAATCTTTGAGATAAAATGCAAGAATGGTTGATAATCACAAACGTATCTGGAAGTACTAACAGCTTCAAGTTTTCCTGAATGTGCTGTAAGAAGAGCAGTGCCCAGGAAGAGGAGTTCTCTAACACGAATATGGAAAAAGCAGAACCATAAAGGAAAGCAACCCCATAACACTCAACATCTTCAGAGTTCAGCACCTCCAGCTCTCCCTTGACAAGGAATCTCTTTTTTGAATCTGAGCACCAATACCTAAACATGTATCCTCTTTCAGCCCTTTGGGTTTTTTTTCTGTTATTTGATGGTAACGAGAGGCTTAAATATTCCCTTAAACAATCCAGCTTCTTCCCCCTGTGCATCCAAAGTGTCTGCTGTTGCAGTTTGAGATGCGAATGCAGGAGGTAAGAAAATAAAATGATAAATAACTCCAGATTTCATGTGATACATGAGAATTTGTTTGTATTAATGCCAAGCAGAAAGACTCTGGCTGAAACCGTACCCACAGGCCTAATAAAAGCTGTGGGTTTTACAAACCACACTTCCATAAACATTTTTTTAAGGGCAGCGCAATCACAGCACAAAGCCAGCTTTGACAAATAGGAAGAAGTACGAACAGTCCTGTAGTGAGAAAGTACCTGAGGCTGGTGCTAATTAAAGACACCCCTTGATGACTGCTGTCTGAAGAAGTTTCGGTTGCTAAGAAATCGCATACTTGGCACTCTTGCTCAAGATGAGCGCCTGGTCTTCGTCTAAGAAGTGCTGCTGGATTGCTTAGAAAATTAGCTGCTGCACTACAGAGGGGAACTGAAATAGGTTCTAGCTGATCCAGAAGGTTTAGCCTTCTGTGAACACCGTCTCTTTCAAGCCTTTCCACAACTTTCCCCTGTATTAGATCTCTCTCCATCAGCCACACTGCTTCTGACTCTGCTCAGGCACCCGGGCTCACCCTTCTGACTGTGGCTCCCCAACCTCAAGGTCTGTTCTTGTATTGCACGCACGCGGTGCTGAACGTTGGTTTTTTTGCTGTGCCTCCTTTCTTCTCCACTAGCAAAATACTGACCACTCCAGCGTCCTGACAGAGCAAGCACAAAGAGAAGGGCCAGGTCTCCTACCTGCTGTGAAACTGAGCTTGGAGGTGGATCAAAAAAAGGGCTAGCAGAGCCCTGAGAATTTAACAGTACTTGCAGAGTATCTCCACCACCTGCTAGCAGAGACAGCTTTTGCTCCTGCAGATATATTGCAGGCTCACAGTGCAGTTACTTGGATGGTAAATTAAATTTGACTCTTCCCCTTACAAGAGAGTCTATACTGAGCAGACATGGTCACATCAAGCCCTTTTCCTTAGGAAAACCTTTGGTAACAACTGACATTTCCCATTACAGGCACAGCAATGGCACTCAGCACCGAGACAAAGTCCTCGCATGCCAGGGGAAAAAAAATCTCTTTGATCATCACCCTACAAGGCTGTAGGGTTTTATGGTGCGGCAGCAGGATGGGGAAGCACCAGCCGGGGAGGTGTTTCCCCTCCCAGTCCACTGCTAGATTTGGCCAGCCTACGGACTGCTGATTTGTCACTGCAGACTCCCTGCGTTGGTTATACTTAAGGCTGGCTCTGTCACTGTAACATCAATATGATGATGTTGCAACTTGGCTTGCTAGTGAGAAGTGTTTTAATTGTGAATATTTTTTATTTCATTACAAATTAGGCTTTGGACATAAAATATCCTCACGAATGCTTTGGTGGTGAGGTGCTAACGGCAGCTGAGAGATATTTACAAGTTTGGAAATGAAACAAATGACATACTTTAAACACTGAAAACGATTTTCAGGCTCTAAGCACAAGGATGAACTCACCACTCCTACTGCACTCTGAAAGGCTTAGATGGACTTTGGGCCAAGCAATTCTGAAGCTAGAAATGAAACTGGATCCTTTTTATATATATATATTTTTATATATATGATACAATATATGTATACTGAAAACCTGTGATAGAAAAAATTGTCATCATCATCATCTTCTAGTTTACAGATACTGCAAAAATTGGACACAGCCTTTTCTCAATGCACAGGTTTTGCAAAAGATTTCTGTACAGCGTGTATAAAATGCTTTTAAAAAACCCATCATAGTCCCATTGTGCTTAGTCAAAACCAGCTGTATGC